GGGTTGTGGAGATGTGGCGGATAGGGGTGTTGGTGGGGGGGCACTGATGGGGTGCCATTGGGGTGTCCCTAATGCTAGGGACCTTCGAGGGTGCTAGGAGTTTCAGCAGGGTCCACTCTGAGGGGGTTGCTGTGGTGGTGGGCCAGTACTGGGGTGTATCAGTGGTATCTGGGAGGATGCTGAGGGGCTGTTTTGGCAGGGGGACCCTCATGCTATGAACCGGGGGGTGGTCTCATACTCACGTCAGCGTTCTGGTAGGCTGTGACAGCGATGAACTGTGTCTCGGGGAAGGTGAAGGTGTGGGTGTGTGGGGAGGGGTACGCATCCTCGCCCTCGCCCTCCTTCACCTCCGTCACATGCAGCCGGGGCTGATACTTGTGCAGTGACTGCAGCACGATCATCTGCGGGGGTCAAAGGGTGGTCATGGGTGGGGTGGAGCACACGGGGACCTGGCACAGCCCGGCATGGTGGGGGGACCCTTACCTGGCCCACGTTGTTGGATGCGCCCTTGTTGTTGGTGAGCTTCAGCTTCCCGAAGGAGACCTCCTGCCGCATCCAGTGGGCGCCTGTGTTGGGCGAGTCGGGGTGCAGGTAGAGGCGGTTCCCTGGGAATGGGGGGACAACAAGGATTGGGTTACCCCATACCCATCACTGTGAGGAGGAGGAGGAGGAGGATGGTTTGGGGAGGGCTGTACCTGGCATGTTGCCCTCGGCTTTGCCACACTGCACCCACTTGCCGCCCTGGTAGCGCCAGTGGTGCTGGTCCCCCAGCACCACATCCACGCAGACACTGTAGTGGGCCACGGGGTTGAGCCCTGAGAGGTTGAAGCTGAGGAATGGGAACATACGCCTGGGGAGGGGACAGAGGTACAGACACAATTGTCAACCCCCCCCCAGCTCACCCCTGTTGCGAGGGACTGCAGGGGGGGCAGTTTTGCCTTGCAAAGATGGGGAAACTGAGGCACAGCGATGCCCACAACCCCGCCCTGTGCCCAGCTGGGTGCCCGTAAGGAGCTGAGTGACCCCGGCAGCTGGGGGATGCTCTCGGGGA